GATATTTTACAGTGGGAGTGGATATAGCAAAGGAGTATACTCCCCAAGATATTAAAATAACTTAGGACATCTTAGTTTCAGGAAAGTTCTGGACATATCTTAAAAAGGTGTGTTTCTTGTGTACTTGGCTATACAAAATGGAGACTGGTTATAGACTACGTTTTTTCTTTTTACACATACATAGTCAGCAACGTAGAATCAAAGAGCTTGGAGCTACAGGTCTCCGGTGCATTATTGATTTTGTCTTCACATTAAATATATTACTAAATTCATATAATTACTTTCAGCAGAGAAAGAGGATAAAAACCTTGATTTCCACAAGTTGTAAAATTAATTATTTGTATTGCGTGTCATTGTGTTACTTGATGTAAAATCAGAATTAATTTAAAACCACTTCTTGAATCCTAGAAGGGATTTGTCAGTTTAGCCCTTGGGATTGAATTTTTGTGAAATGAATGATTGGTGTTCTAGCATATTGGCTTGGAGAAATGTATGCTAGGAAAATTATTAAAGTAAATATTCCCCCAGACATTTTTGATAAAAAAAGATGTTTCATTACACATTACTATTATCTAATTTCTTACAAGTGGGTATAAACTGGGCTGTTATAGAGGTGGTACATACAGGCGTGGTGAATGCACTGGTATATCATACTGGCCAGCGTCTGTCGGTTCTGATTGGTGGGTTCCCATGAGTTGCTGCTTGCTAAGTATTACCCCTAGATATAATAGTTAATAGATCTGTGTATTGAAATCCATTTAATTGTATTATTTTTATTATAATAGTGTACTATCTAAAGCCTAACTATGCTTTTTTTGTTCCATGAGAGAGTAAACACTTCTACGTATAACTCATCTCTTTAGACAGCATTTATTGCACACTGTTATATACGAAGTCTCTGCTCTGTTCTTTCAAATTTGCCGTCTCATTTAGCGTTAACAAGAGACCTGTGAATGACAATCCTCACTTTACAAATTAGGAAATTTAATAGCAAGTCACTTAACTTTTATATCCTATATATCCTAAACATTGTAACTTTTTTTGTAATTGTAGTAGTTCAAAAACAGTTAACATTTATTTATCATATACCGTATGACAATATCTGTGTTATGGTTTTTTAAAGTTTATCACATTTAATTCTCACGACAACTTTATGTGGTAGTTAAGATTATCCCCAGTATATAGGTATAAACTGAAACCGGAAAAATTTAAGTAAAACTTGCTCAAGGTCACACAATTTAGAAGTGGTGGGTGAAGGTCTCAACCTCAGACATTTGACTCTGCAGCCCCTGTGCACTACTCTCCTTCTAGAACAATCTACAATCACAGCTGTAATGCTTATATCCATACAGCTGGCACTATCCTACAGTCTTTGTATGGTTAAATCATTTAGGTAAGTACTGTCTTTATCTCCATTTTACACATGTGGTAACTGAGTAAGCGCTCATGGAACATGCGATCTGTCCTTCAGGATTATCACTCCTCATAGCCCGAGATGCAGCTCTGCCCTCTCTGGTGCCGTCAGGACTCTGCCTTCCCAGGACGAACTGTCTGGAGAAGCACTGTCTAAGCTTCACTGTCATGCCCAGTCTCTTACGTAGCCAAAAAAGAACGCTTTGCACAAACGCATATGTACTAGCGCATGAGGGAGGAGGGGACAGTGGGGAAGACTGATTCTGCAGTGTTATAATCTCCATCTTGTGTATTACCTGAATGATTTAAATCAAGAGCAAGTCTGTGCTTACACACATGGCATTCTTTTGGCTGACTAAAGTATTTCACTATCTTCAATTTTTGTTCTTTTCTTTAAAAGAAACACTTAGCATTAGATCTGGATAATAAAATAGTGATTTTTGATGAACCCTTCCAAGGAAGCGAGGTTGCAATAGCTGTGGTCATCATGTCTAAATATACTTTAAAGTAGTTCAGAGACAAAGAGCAGCGGCAAGTACGTAGTTCCTTCTATGTACTTTGTTTTTAACATCAATGTGAAGCTATATTTGCTCTTCTGAAAACAACAGAAGACCTAGTTTCAGAAACAGGTAGATTCTGCTGCTCGTGGAAACTGCCCACATGAGGTGCTCTGAACTTTGCGTGTTGCTTCCTTAGCTGCCACCTTATTATAAGTAAACCTTAACTTTGAGTTTCCTCTAGATAACTTTAGGAAATAAGGGGGCTGCTTTTTGAGAGGCAATGGGTTTTGACAAGGCATATGAATTTCTAAGTAGAATAAGTCCTCTACAAATTGGTAGAATATGTGCTTTCTCAGCAATATTGAGAGCCAAAAAACTGCTGCTGAAGTTTAGTTTCTGGGAATATCACAATATATACTGTATTTGAAGACCATGACATTGAAGGTTCATTCTCCATCAATAAACACACCTGTGAAGTCTTCCATTCTCCAGGATACTCAGGTATGCAGCCTGGGCAGAGTTAAACTTTTGCTCAGTAATATTAATCAATTAAAAAATCTGTTGAATATTTCCTACAAGCCTAGAAATGTTAAAATATTAAAGACATACAATATCAAGAAAATTCAGAATCCAATATATTTTATTTTTAGCGTCTATGCAACAAAATATTTTTATTCAAGGAGTATAAGTTGTTATACATTCGTTTCTTAGTCGTTGCAAGATTTGCTTGTTTGTTTCTGTTTTGTCTGTTGTTTGCCTAGCAATTCTATAAATATTAGCAAAAATAAGGGAGAAGAGATACAGAATAGTACCTGGAATAATTAAAAAAAAAAAGGGCGAGGAGGATGATTTCAGTTAACTGGAATATTTGCAGGATTATTTGGTATCAAGAGATATCTGTCGGGAATGTGATTTATTGACAGTCCTGGATTATCTGGTACATTCCCACCCAAACTGCCAATATTTAATGATAACTGATACTGGCACATTGATTGATAGTTTATAAGACATTTTCATGAATACTAAGCAGCAAATTCAGAAACAGAATCACATTTGGAGAATTTGGAATTCAAATCTTTGTGCTCTTAGCAATATTACTATTGTACTTAACTCAATTGCGGAGTGCAATATTATTTTTGCTTATGTATTTAATTGTTTTTAACTAACCTATCCTATTTAATAGTAATTATAATAATTTTTCCAACTTATTCTGGAAGGTCGACAAATACTTATGCTCTTTTAAAGGTATTATTTACTTAATGGATAACTGTACTTTCAAAACCACTAAAATTTATTAGGTATTAAGTGTTTTTTAAATTTTTTAATAAAGCATTTTGCAGCCATTCTAATCTGTTTGCAGAAAACTCTTTTTTGTTCTGTGTACACATTTTGACAACATTCATTATCTGCTTAACAGACCATATCAGTTCTGCAAAAGCCATTATGGTTGACGACAGAAATTCAAATTTAGTTCCTTACTAAAAAGCGGATTTTTGCAATTATATATCGGATCATTAAGTTTTACATTATAAAAGGTTTATACGACGCTTAACAAATCACTAGCCCAATAAAATGTTAAGCATGATACTTTTCAAAATGACTACTGTATATTTTCTACTCTTTAATACTTTTTTTTCCAAAATGACTGTTACATCTTTTTTACTCTTTAATCAGGGACCTAAAGTCAAACCAGATGAAAGGAAGAAGAAACTGTTCTTCTGGGGAGGTGGGCAGAGGGAAAGGGCGTGGAGAGCCAGAAAGACTCACTTTGCTTGACTTAGCTGTATCTTTGCCATACTTTGATTTTCAAGACCTGAGTGTTTTGGGTCTTTTTGGAAGATTCCCCTAGAATCGTTACAATAGACTAAGTTGCCTTATGCAAAGCATTTTGCTGACAATTTTGATTAATAGTGCAACTACATTTAAAGAAGGTAACTTTCTAAAATGTCTGCAATATATAGTTTCGAAGGTGAAAAATTCATTATACCATGACTGCAGTGTTTTGATAATATCGATCATTAATAAATCTTTACTGATTGATTAACCACTGTAAATTATGTGTTTTTTATCTAATATGTCTTTCTAGAATGGCTATCCTTAAAAAAGTCATGGAACTATTATTGAACAAAATAAACACTAAAATTACATTTTATGAGATATGTGGGATGATTACAAAGGTAAAAACAAAGATTAGCTTTAAAACACTGTCTAGAAACTATAATCCCTAACGCATATTACTCTAAAGACTGATTATTTTAAATATCCTATTAATCTGATGATGAAAGAAATCTTTTTCTTAATATTAAAATCATATCTAACATCGTACTTTGCTATTTTTAACTCTTCACTATTTCTCATATTTGTATAGCAAAATTGTATACCTTCTTGGAGTTCTTCTTTTACCTTCCAGCACCCTAAATGGAATCATAATCTGGAGATCATGGACCGTTGTACCTAAAGTTACTAGAACGTGTGAAATACATGCCAAGTAGGCTAATTTCATCATCACAAATAAGTTAAATAACATATACTTTTCTTAGGTTGTTCAGGATTAATTTCCCCCTGTTCTGAATCTCTGTGACATTCTTTGTTTTTTTTAAATGCTTAAATAATGTTATAGGGTTTCATTTAATATATATCTTCCTCATTAGTATTTTATAAGCATATACTTTTCAAAATTATTTCAGTATTTCAATTAAGTATTTTTGCACAATACAACTAAATTTATACATACAGAATTTCAGTGTGAAGCATGTTGTTACGCATATGGTAGGCACTTAAGTTTTGCTAAATGAATGAACCAAGCAAGCAAAAAACGACTCTTATGGAAAATATACTTCATTTTTATGATGGAACTACTCCCACCCCCCTAGCTGAGCACATTTAGAGGAATGCTGGCTCTGTTAGTAACACAAGAAATAATTACCACCATGGCAACACTTCCGAGAATGGAATGTGGGATCCTTTACCTCAGTTTGATGGCAAATTATCACTCTCATCTTTTTGTTTTTAGATTTGTAATATGAGAGATTTAATACTGAACATGAGTTATAACATTTTCTCTTTGTCTTTTTCTTCTTGTTTTAGCTCCCTGTGAAGGCAATACATTCTTCTGCCACAGTAACATGTGTATTAACAATACACTGGTCTGCAATGGACTTCAGAACTGTGTGTATCCTTGGGATGAAAATCATTGTAAAGGTAATGATGAGTCCTTGAAATTTGCAAAATCCCTCTGCCTGTGGAGTGGGAATAAGTTTATTCCAATGTTTATATGTATCAGACAGTCTTAAAAATAGACTGTAGAGTGGCTTTTATGAACTTCTTGCGTGTTTCATCATCGATTGTAAGCCTTTTTCTTTGCTTTTGCTCCGCTGTTTCCTCATTATGAATGCACAGTGGACTATCATTAACATTTGAATGCTCGTTAAAGACATTTTCTAGGAGATGGGGTGGGCAAAAGGGTTAAAGGAGTGCATATGTATGGTGATGGATGGAAACTAGACTATTGGATGGTGAACACGATGCAGTCTATACAGAATCCAAAATATAATGATGTACACCTGAAATTTACAGAATGTTATAAACCAATGTGATCTCAATAAAATCATAAAATAAATAAATAAACTAGTCTTATATCTTAAAAAAATAAACCGTCTGCCATGAGAAAAAAAAAAAAGATATCTCCTTATTCGAGCCTGCAGAGCCATGGAAAGTGAATTGGGGCTTTCAGTGCAGTGCATTGTTTCCCATCAGACGTGGTACCCCTTAATCTGTGGCTGCACCTCTCACTTATTGCAGTTTGTCTTCATTGGACATTGTGCACGTACTCTAGAGATAAGTGTATTGGAGGAACAGTTGTGCTTTCATGTACCTCCAGCCACTTAACTCAACTTCAATTTTGCTACCAAAATGCTTTCCTTCCTTTCCAGTGAAAATAGCTTCCAACACCACCAGTCCCTTCTGTAGCCTGTACACAAAGGTCTGTTTAAATAGACAGCAATCCTTGGTTTGGTTTTTAATGTGGCGTGTTTTAGTTAAGTTGAAAGTGTCAGATAAACTTTTTTGTTCAGATTCAATATCAGCCAATATGCAAAGGAAAAGGAACAGGTAAGTAACTCTTCCATACTTGAAGTCCAATATTATCCATCACAATGTCTTCTGTGGGCAGAAGACGAGAGGCGTTGCCACAGTAGCCCTGGTTCATAAGGTCAGGAAGAAAGGCAGATCCTGTGTCAAGTATTTTGATGGTGGGATGTGGGCAATGATTAGTTTGTGTTCAAGGAACCACTTTGGAATGGATGGAAATTAAATATTTTGTGAAGAATCTTAATACAGCACTGTTAATGATTAGTACTCACAAACATCTTTGTTTACTAATGTGGATTTGTTCCTACATATATAAGGAATATTTGACATGAGACAGTAATCAAGAAAACCTGAATGGAGGTCCATTATGAACTCCCATGTTCACCTTTTCCAGATGGCAAAACTGCTATTCTGATTTCTAATTCAGTCTTGTGATAGGAGAACATACTTTTCATGATGATTTCAATCATGTTTAATTTATTGGAGTTAGTTTTATGGCCTAGAGTATCAATGGCTAGGCATGGTGTATCCTAAAGAAATGTGCCCTTGAAAAAATTGCATTTTGCTGTTATGTGGATTGTTATAGAAGTAGTTTTATAACATTGTTCAAATCTTCTGTTTCTATTTTTTATTTTCTACCATGTTTTATCCATTACTAGAAGTGTCTATTGAATTATCCAATTATTATGGCTGAGTTGTCTGATTCTTTCTTCAATTCTATGAGCTTTTGTTGGGTCCACACATGTTTAAAAATATTATATCTTCCTGATGGACTGATGCTTTTATTGATTGTTATAAAACTATCTTCCTATTTTTAGTAACTTTTTTTTGCCTTAAAGTATACTTTGTCTGATGTTAACCTGTCCACTCTAGCTTTCTTATGATTGTGGTTTGCATTCTCAATCTTTTTTCCATCCTTTTGCTTTCAGTCTATCCGTATCTTTGAACATAAAATCTGTCTTCTGTAGATAGCATATAGCTGGCTCTTATTTTTTGATCCATTCTGAAAATCGCTGCCTTTTCATTGGATTCTTTAACCCATTCATATTTAATTATGGCATTGATAGAGTTGAGTTTACATCTGCCATTTTACTTTCTGTTTCCCACATGCCTCGTGTGTTTTTTGTTCATTTTTTCTTCCTTTATTGGTCTCTTCTTCAATAAGTGAATATATTCTAGTGTAACATTTTAATTCCTTCAGTGATTTTTTTTGGTGTACTTTTTGAGTTTTTTTCTTAGTAGTTGCTTTATGGCTAGAGCCTAACTTTTCAAAATATATTTCAGATTTATACTAATTTAATTCCAGTGAGATATAGAAATATTATTCCTATATAGCTCTAGTCTCTCTTCCTTTTTACCTATTACTTTATAGGTATTATTATCTCCTAGATAAGTATTATTATATCATGCATATTATGTCCATGTATGTAAAAAATCCAAGAATATATTGCTATAATTATTACTTTAGATAAATTTATGTCTTTCGAAGTTGAGAGAAGAAAGGAGAGAAAGTATATATTAATATAGTTCATTATATAATCCTTATTATTTACCATTTCTGATTCTTTTCACTTGTTTTTGTGGATTCACATTATCATCTGATGTCATTTCCTTACTCCTGTACAGTTTTCCTCCCACCTCATTTGTACTGTTAATACCAAATATAATACATTTCTATAAGCTATAGGCACAACAACACAATTTTATACATATAATATTGCTTTTTAAAAAAGTTAAGGGAAGAATGCATAAGAAACATGCAACTATACTGTCCTTTGTAATTATTTACATAATTGCCTTTATTGGCAACATTTATTTTCATGCTTAATTTATTGTAATTTTAATTTTTTCACGTGGATTTGAATTACTGTCTGGAGTTACTTGCTTTCAATCCCCTAAATTTTTTTCAATATTTATTTTAAGGCAGGTCTTTCAGTATTAAATTATGTTTATTTTTGTTTATTGGAAATGTCTTTATTCCATTCTCATTTTTTAAAGTTAGTTGTGCTGGATATTAGGTTTTTGATTGATAGTTTCTGTTCCATCTTTTTCTGCAGCATTTTGAATATGTCATCCTCAGCCTTCTGGTTTCCATAATTTCTGATGGTAAATCAGCTGTTAATCTGATTGGAGTTCCTGTCTATGTGGTTATTTTTCTCTTACTTCTTTCAAGATTTTCTCTTTGTCTTCCAGCATTTTTAATATTATATGTCAGAGTGTGGATCTCTGCATTTATCTTACTTGGAGTTTGTTTAAATTCTTGGATGTGAATTTCTTCATCAAATTTGGGAAGTTTTTAGCATTTATTATTATTTTTTAAACATTTTCCTGTTACTTTCTCACTGTCCTCCCCTTCTTATACTCCCGTTACATCATGTTGGTGCATTTGATGTTTTGCCTCAGTTTTCTGAGGATCGTTGCCCTTTTCAGATTGCATAATTTTCATTTATCTTGTTTCCAGTTTGCTGATGCTTTCTTCTTCCAGCTGAAATGTACTCATTCTAGTGAAATCTTCATTTCAGTGATTGTACTATTTAACTCTATATTTTCTTCTTTATAATTTCTATTTTTTTTACTGATATTCTCTGGTGAGGCATTATCCTCATATTTGTCTTTAATTCTTTAATCATACTTTCCTTTGCTGTTGTCACTCCCTCTCCTGTGTGCCCATTCACCTGCTGACAGGGTCTGGCACTTACCTACACTCACACCTGTTCCTGTGCCTTGAGAAGCCTGGGCTTCCTGAGCATCTGCGTTCCTTTATTCCACTCCCATCTGGAGCTGGTGCTATGGCAATTCCAGGCTGGGGGGAAACATACTTGGAAACTTATAAATAGGTTTCTTGAACTTATTTATAATAGCTGCTTTGAAATCTTTGTCTCCTAAGTCTGATATCTGGCCCTCTCAAAGGCACTTTCTTTTCCTCCTTTTTTTTTCTGTATATGAATTGTATTTTCCTGTTTCTTTAAATTCCTTGTAATATTTTGCTGAAAACTGGATGTATTAGATAATATATTGTAACAACTCTGGATACCGATTCCTCCCTCCCCAGGGCTTATTGTTTTCTTGTTTACTTGTTTATAAGTATAGACTTTGCTGGCCTATTTCAGTGAGTCTGTCCCTGATGTTGCTCCATGAAGACCATGGCTTTGGGCATGCTTACTGTCACCCTCAGGTGACCACTGTTTAGTGAAACTCTTTCCCTGTCTCTTTCCCTGTTCTCTCTGTTTAGCTGTCTGGCTCCATTGGTATCACACCTAGCTGTTAGTCTCCACTAATTGCCAGATGATTGCTCTATTCTTTTTGACAATGCCCAGGAGCATAAATTGTTCTATAGTCTGATCCAATTAGATTCAATTTCTTTGCAGGGGTAGTTTTTGAGTCCAGCCTTTTGGCTTGTTGCAAACAAGGAACGCTCTTCTTAGCTGTTACTTTCCCGGTTTATTATGTTAAACTTCTAGCTGTTCTAAGGTTTGGCTTGTTGCTACTAAAAAGCTAACAGCCTCCTCTTAATTGCTTACCAGAAAATTTCCCTTGTTTTTGAAATTTCCTTAGGCTTGAACTTCTCCACGCTCTGTTCCAAATAAAGTAATTTCCTTTAGGGAAAGCTATAGTGCTCTCTGTTTTTGTGGCCTGCCTCTCTTCCTGGGCAAAACTTCTGCATTACTGCTTTGGATAAAGAGAGTGTGGTCAAAGTGACCCACTTACTCTCTTAGAGTAACACTCCTGCTTTATGAATAGGGCACTGGGTGAAGCTGGTAACATCCAGTTTTCTCAGCTTGCCTCTCCAGGCAGTTCCACTCTATGAGTGAGCTGGGGCAAGTGTGATTGTGGCCAAGCATTCTCAGCCTGCTGCACCTGGTGTAGATCTTCTCTCATACCAGTGGGGGTTGGGAGGAGGAAGGGAGCCCCCGACATCTCAGTCATTCCTGCCTGGAATAGAGCATCTGCAGTATGGATCTGAGGGGGGCATTGAGAAATGCTGGTGGCTTGCTCCCCTGGGGAGATACTGTAGCTCTAGACTGGGAGCTGTAGGAGGGGGAAGCCTGTGTTATCTGAAACCTCCCTAAGTAGAGTTTCCATCATGATGAACTGGGGTTCTGGGAGCTAAAAGGCCACAGACTCTCACTGTTCTTAAAGAAATTTAGTAGATTTTCTTGTGCCTCTATTTACTGTATGCCATTAGGACAATTTCCAGAAACTTTAAATGATTGGGCTTTTTTTTTTCAATATTTTTTACCAGTTATGGTTGTTTCTTTGGGGAAAAGGCCCACAGAAGCCCTCAGACCACCGTTCCAGAAGCCTCTCATGAAGTTTAATTATCTTTTGGTATCAGAATATTGCTGTTACTTTGATTTCAGTTATCCACATCAAGAATAAAATCAGAACAATATAAGTATATTCATTTCCCCAATAGTGGAGTTTAGAGGTTTTCTTACACCTATGAGAAGATAAAGAATTTAATGGTTTTAACATTACCAGTTCCTTCCCAAATGTCATGCTAAAGATCTTATCAGACCTTCTGCAAACATATTTATGTTTGAAATAGGGATGCTGGGTGACGGGAGGGCTGTTTCTAAGGCTAGAAGATAAAGCCTTTGTGAAAAGTGAAACTTTTTATTTTTAAAGATTTGTTTATTTGACTTTAAGCCTATAAAAACTCTATACTCAGCCTATTTCATTTTAAAGTTCTCAATATATGCTTTGACTACCATATTAATGCGTGGTGGGTTGTTTCTTGTTTTGTTTGTTGTTTTCACTCTCCTCAACCTGTAGAAAAGAGGAAAGCCAACCTGCTGGACCAGCTGACCAACACCAGTGGGACTGTCATTGGAGTGACTTCCTGCATTGTGATCATCCTTATTATCATTTCTGTCATTGTGCAGATCAAACAGCCTCGTAAAAAATATGTCCAAAGGAAATCGGACTTTGACCAGACAGTTTTCCAGGAGGTGTTTGAACCTCCTCACTATGAGTTATGCACTCTCAGAGGGACAGGAGCTACCGCTGACTTTGCAGACGTGGCAGATGATTTTGAAAACTACCATAAACTGCGGAGGTCCTCTTCCAAATGCGTTCACGACCATCACTGTGGATCACAGCTGTCCAGTGCAAAAGGCAGCCGCAGCAACCTCAGCACAAGAGATGCTTCTGTCTTGACAGAGATGCCCCCACAGCCCGTCAAACCCCTCATCCCGCCCATGAACAGAAGAAACATCCTCGTCATGAAACACAACTACTCGCAAGATGCTGCAGACTCCTGTGACATTGACGAGATTGAGGAGGTGCCGACCACAAGTCACAGGCTGTCCCGACATGATAAAGCCGTCCAGCGGTCAGTATCAATAGATTTTTTGATGACAACTATAACCTGAGGACTGAAATGCTTCCAGAATATTGTGTTCCATTTTGTCTTCATATTTCAGTTTCTCTTTTTATTAATGATTTAAACCATAGTGTCTGAACTTTTTCCTTTCCAGTGCTATCCATACTTTTCCTAAATCCCATATATGTACATATGTGTATTTGTGTGAGCACACACAAACCAAAGACATTTCATTTATTTCTATACATATACAGTATTTACTTCTACAAAAATTATGGTTTTAATTTATATTAAAAATTTATATTTCTCATTTGCTTCCACATGGTCATGAATGTTGCTCCAATCAATATTTATATTTTACAATATGAAATGATTTTTGGAAATAATCGCCTTACCAAGATGGTTAACCCATCTTGTTGAATAATTTTAATGTAAAAATAACATATTTTGCAATATAATGTATTATATTTTTGGTATGAAAGTGAAAAACTTTTTTTCCATATATCATGTAATACTTACATTACAAATTGCATATGATAGCATAGTATGCTGAAATACTAAACATTTATATTTAAATATAGCAAAGATTAATAGAAACATTTTCCTTTTAATATAAAGACACTATTATCTGTATTGTATTATTAGCCCTAAAATTAGTAAAAGCTTTGAGGAAAGAAAATTTAAATTTAGAAAAATTTTATTTTAAATCCACCAATCTAATCTACTTATATTTTGTTTTGCATGTTTACTAGCATTTAGTTGGTTTCATAAGTGTACATACTTTCTCAGTTCATTCTATGTCCTGAAAACCTAAAGTATTTTAAGTCAATTTAATATTTTTGCATGCTGATGGAAAAAATCTATTTCCACACTTTATGAATTTTTAAGAATGCTTTTAAGTAAATATTTGTATGCATATTTATTTTTGTGCAAATATTACTTTGTTGAATGAAATAGCCATAACATTCCAGGTTCTGCCTCATTGGGTCTCTAAGCAAACATGAATCTGAATACAACACAACTAGGGTCTAAAAAGGAAATTCAAGGTAAGCAAATGCCCTCAGTTCCTTCTCTCCCTTTGTTGTATTCTGTTGTTTTGTTTTGTTGCAATTGTCTTGTAGTTTTTTAGGGAATCTGCTATTTCATCACTATTTCTTGAGCTATGTGTTTCATAACATTTTATAATTAGAAACATAATGGATTCAATGCTGATGGAGAGATGCTTTTTAGTAGATATATCTTTAAAATAAATGTTAATATTCTTACCATCAAGCATTGTACTACAATGTCATTAAAAATGATGTCCAATTAATAAGTTAAATTTTACGTGTTTTAAGGTAAAGATACAAAAATTAATGAAGTCTTCAAAGAAATACCAGAAGAAACCCAAGGTTTTCATAATAAAAAAATAGAATATTGTCTCAATATAACTGAGGTCAATATATAAAACTGGGAATAATTTTATTGCTTTAATTTGGCAATATCTTACCCAAAACTCATACACTAAGTATTTGGTGGTACCTTTACAATTTGTACACTCTTACTTTTTGCATGACTATGTAACTTATTTCATCAAAATTAAATGCAGTATGTTATGTCAAATTTTATTATATAAAATTTGAATGCTTGATAATGTAAAATGTTCCATAAATACCAGTTGTCTGTGTGTACATCTATTTTGTCATCGAATATCATAATGGCTTTACTTTTACGACTTGATAAGTCTATATATAGATTAGACTAATTTGGCTCCAATTGAATTTGCTTGACAGTTAATCTCTTCAAAACTCTTCAAGCCTATCAACTATTCTTAAATTAGGTGAATGCATTTCCATGCTCTATATTACCTTGATAAATTGGTGTGTTTGTATGCATTTTTCATTGGGAGAAAATGTTTTAACTGTGTTTTATTTTCAGAGAAGAACTATTTATACAAACATGGGGACTGTGAAAAGAAAATTCTATAGTGAATTGTGAAAAGTGGACATATTACTAAATTCATTCCACTGCCTTTATCCAAACTTAAGAATTACAGACATTTGTTATTCCTTCGGCAAGACATCCCCGCTGCACAATGATATGTTCATTTCGTAATTTGGTTGCTGGCCACCAAGTGCTCCTTAGTTTTTAAATACATTTTGAGATTTACTGGAAACTTGAAGAAGAAATTAGTTCCTGATTAAGACTCTCCCAACTTTACTTTTACTGTCAGTTTCACTTTGTTTCTATGTTGTTTTATGTCTTTGTTAGATAATTGTACATTGTGTGATATGTGAAAAAACACAATTTTGGATGAACTTTGTGTTACATGTACATTGTTTTCATTATATAGACTGATTGAGAATAGTGCGTTCCTGAGTGATTTTGAACACGCTACAGCGAAAAGTGAAAATATGGACCATGGAGACACCAGCTAGAGGTTTTATGGACTATAAACATCTGTTGTTGTGTTATGATTAAATGCAGCCAAAAGTAACGAGTAAAATTACTAGATTGCAATAAGAAAAATCTTTTTTTTTTGGTCTTTCCTGTATACCCCCAATTTCCTTTTTGTTTTATATCAAAGGAAGATACCGAGTTTCAGAAATAGTTTTTGAAATCAGGTATTTTACCATTCATACCCTTCAGTAGAAATGTTTTTTGATTAAGCACTTAGCAATAGGATTGAATTGACAGTTTGAGAAATTACCCTGCATGTCAGTATTGGATATTTGAGTTGGGAAAATATCCTTTTTATTAGACACATTGTAAAAAGCATGCATTCTTGAATACTGCTGTAACTCTTCCATTTCTTTGTGTCATATGCTTGCTACTTGTAACTTTTTATATAAAGATATATAAAAATGTATAATAATTTCCTAACTCGAGTTACGAGAAATGTTTTCTTCTATTAGAGTGATAAAAAATTGACTTACATAAATACACACTTTATATCAACTGTTTCCACATCTTAGGCTACAGGATGTCCTTTAGTATTGAGGCTTACTTCTCCAAAATTTGATTTCTAAAATTTTATTGAATATGTTCTCCTTTTAGAATATAAAGTCTTTTTTAAATGCTTTAAAAAAATCAGGCCCATTTATGACCCAAATTACACCATTCTGAGTTGTTCTTATACTCAGGCACACATATAGTACCTGAAAGCTTACTAATTATGATGTGTTTAATATAAATAAAGTAAAATCATATAATATGTTTAATTGCTGTTGAATTATATATACATTCTATAAAGTTTTATTTAGTGAGTGCTTTTAAAATATTGAATATGTATTCTTAGAAAATAATTTTAAAAACCAGAATTACTATAAATCTGCTTATCAACATTTCCAAAACTGCTGAATTCTGTGAAATTCTGTCCTTCAAATAGCAAAGCAGTCTAGTCTATCATAATTCAAACCTTGTAACTCAAGCAGGCTTCACAAACCCAACAGATGAATTACTCGCATACACGGCTGTTAGGAATTCAATTTCAAATACGTTACAAAAACAAATAAATGAGAAATAAAATAAAATGGTGTGATAAAAAAATTAAAGAATTACCATAGAAATTCTGAATAATCTCTATTTAAAAAATGTCAATCTACAGAAAGAATCACTTTCATGAATTTGATAAACTGATGAATAGAAAAAATATATCAAACATGATAAAAAAGATTATTTTTATGCTATATATTTTATACACATTGCTTACGTTAAAATTTAGCCTTTTTTATTTGACTTGACTGATTTATTTATTACCATGCCTACTTTTATGCCCTTTAATTCAAAGTTAATGCATCCAGAGATTTTTTTGAAGTGATTAGCCAGGTTTTACATTACTGTCTCTATTTAGAAATCTTCATAGGACCCCTTACACTTTGAATGAATAATCTCAAAAAGGTATGATATACATGTCAAGACTTTTGATTTATGACAGCAAAAACAACCAGGAAAATAAATTAGGTGAACTGCTTACCCTTCACTTGTCTTGTAGCTGTCCACAGCCTTCTGTCTCCTCTAGTTTTTCCTAAATATATAGAGTGCTTCTGATCTGCTGGTTTACTGCTTAAAAGATATTTGCACCAGAAATGCACTAATAGAGACTTAAAAAAAAATCCAACTACACTAAGTATAATGATAAAGATGTATTGCTTATATGTATTTAATATACAACAGCTCCATGGGTAAACAAACATATTTGAAATAAAAATAGGCCTCCTCAGTGGTAATATCAAAAATGTTTAACAATGGGCATTGACTCATCATCAAAGAAGACAGTGCTGAGGCTGGGGCAGGGACCTGGTGGCATCCTACTGCCCTGGCAATAACTCTAGATGCTGTGTCCTGGGAGTGTGGGGCTCCACTATGCCTGCGAGTCCCCTGGGGGAGGCTCATTAACAGCCAGTATTGAAATCTATCAATATATTAAAAACTGCTATTTACTGGCTACATCAGACCATATCACCTGAATATCAACATTTGGTTTACATTCAAATGGGGAGACACATGTACGTAGGGAATGAGATGTTTCAAGACTTTCAAGATGGTTCAAATCAAGTTATTTTAATAAATAAATATATTTTTGATAAAGTGAATTCAAATATTACTTACACAAGTGCTTTATTAATTCCATAAGATGTTTTCCAATAGCATAATTACACACTATGTTAGTTAATTTGAAAATAGCTGCTTTCGTTTTATTTCTCTATGTTTGAATTCACTTTCGAAATCTGGGAGACATATCATGATTATGGACAACACATGCAAAACCTTGAATTAAGCTTTTTATGTCTGTCCACGTGCAGCTTTCTTGCCTAATTCAAGGTTGGTGTGCTGATTTGGAAATATGATTTTTTGTACCTGATTTTATACATATGCCGTTTTTGTGCATCATATTGCAAAATATACATATATAATGTTTGATTTGCCATAATTAACTTCCATTTGACTAGATAATTAAAACATGGCTATAAACCTAACTGGAGATCAATGTCTTCAGGCTTTTAAAGGAGAATAATCGACGTGGTGGAGACGCGGGCTTTTCTGTTTCACATAATTTTTTTTAATTAAAACTATTTCACTGAGTCTAACTGACTCCATAAGCTGTTATTCCTGGTGTTTAATAAAGTTAGTTCTTTGACATTATTTGATTATTCACTTAAGCTATTGCATCAACTTTTTCTGTATTTTTCCCTTAGGAGTTGGGTTTTCTCAAATCTGATAGCTTTTTAAAAAACTCCGTGAATGGATTTTCCTTGACCTCAGAATATCATAATAAATTGCAAAATATGATACTAGTTCCTGTTACCTTAATTAAAGTAATGGCAAATAATTTATTGATATTTTGGTGGTAAAATAAATAGCTTTCTATCTTATTATGAAGTTTGTATATTTCAATGATTAAAATGAGTCCTGTCAGCATCCAACTCTAGAGGGAGATTAAATAAAATGTTTAAAATCTTCTGAATCCTAAATGCATGGGATTTGAAGAATGAGTTTCAGTTCTGTCCAACTTCACTGAAGCGAGTTAGTTTCTATATCATTTTGATCTGTGAATTCTTTCCTACCTCTGCTCATTTCTATTATTACAGAGGGTCAGCCAAGAAATTGTTAAATAGATAAAAGAATAAAGGAAATAGGAATTGAATTAATTATTAATCCCTTGTCCATTTAATTAATATTTCCCATTTCTCTCTTAAAGATTGAATAAAGTAGCAAAATAAAATACATTGTTAAAATAGCCAGAAATGTATTTTTATAAATAATCCTGTTCAATAAATCTGAGCCCTTTATTAATGTAGAATTATCCTGATTTATTTTATTAATGAGTCTGTTGAAATTGTACTGCAAATTTCTTTAACTGAATTATATCATCCAAATAAATCCAACAGTGTAATAAAAATAACAAATATAGGTGACCAATGTCAGACACTCATAACATCTTGTCATTTTTTATTGTGGCCTCTGGATCTATACTTCCTTGTGTGTTATTAAAGAAGTAAATGTCCTCTTTTTTTTTTATAATTTTATTTATTTATTTTTCCCCCAAAGCCCCAGTAGATAGTTGTATGTCATAGCTGCACATCCTTCTAGTTGCTGTATGTGGGATGCGGCCTCAGCATGGCCGGACAAGCGGTGCGTCGGTGCGCACCCGGGATCCTAACCCAGGCCGCCGGTATCGGAGTGCGAGCACTTAACTGCTAAGCCACGGGCCGGCCCAGTAAATGTCCTCTTAATATGCCTTTAATTCCTCAGAGATGGGAATAATAAACTCAACCTGCTTCAGATTTCTGTCATTTAGTAGGGTTGGTTTCCAAAAGGTTCTTATTCCTGCACTGGTATGATCTTACAGTTAAACCACTTTTTTTATCCGTGGTAATCATACAGTTAACATGTCCTTGTTTGTCCCCAACTTCTACCACCTCTCCAAACTCTGAGTCATGTCATTTTACATTGGTTTATTCTTTGAAAAGTTATGGTTTTTGCCCTCCTCTTAATAGTCACAGATATAGATACAAAATTTAAAAGTGACCAGAAAATATAATGTGTAAATTATTTAAAAGAAAACATTCCTATTATACCACCTTATAAAATTTGTGCTCTTTGTTCGTTTTCTCATGAGTTAAGTTTAATGTCAGCATAGCCAGCCTTTTCTGAGCCTGTTCAATCTTTATAACAGGCTTCTTCCTGAGTGCTTTGGGCATAAACAAAAAAGGCAGCAATCTAGTGGGGAGCCTAACCATAGAGCCCTATAGAAGGAAAGCTGCCTAGAAGGTGCTAAATAAGGAACCTACAGCCCAAAATCCTTTGCTAAGTTTTCCATTTTGAAAAGATAATTAGTTACCTCCTTCACAATCTTGTATGGAAGATAAAATATATTCAACTGTCAAGAGAATACAATACAGGTAATGTTTTATAATAAAGAAGTTAGTAGCACAAATATAAGGGTAAAAACATATTCTCCAGGGGATCAAAAGAGGCTTGATGAATACTTGCCCTTCTAAGCAGGTTTTGAAGTCTGGAGACCATTGTCAAATAGTTGATCAGGGAAGGATTTCCACCTAGAGAAACTGGAGCGAGGGTAGTCTCGGAAGGCCATGTATTTGAGTTGGCTGGAGCATAGGAGTAGACAAAAGGAGTGATAGTAAATATAGTTGGAAGAGGAGGTTGGCATTTACATCATGATTTCTGAGTGCATCTAATGCCATCCGAAAGAGCTCACATTTTATTCAAAGGAGAGTATTTTAATGTCTCCTAGCAAAGTGTGGCTTAAAAATTGTACTTTAAGTAGAATCCTCTGACAGCAGGGTGTTTGTTAAATTGAATGAGACTGGAATAAGTAAAGGAAACCAAAACAATACAGAAACAAGACATTAAGAAAGAATAACTGATGGATTGTTAGATATCCAGAAATATCTGTCTTGCTTTTCTATTTATTTTCTATCATATTTTATTATTTCAAGATTATGTTTGGCTAACTATCAAACGTATTGAGTGCTATATGCTAAACACCATTCTGAGTGTTTTACATGTAAGTATGCCCTTAGTCATCTTAGCAATTCTATGATAATAATAATAATACTAGTTGTTATGGTTATTGTTATTCGATTGTACATATGAGGAAACTGAAGAGGGTTTTAATAACTTTTCTAAGACTGCACAATAGGGAATGACAAATCCTGCTCTGAAGCTGAGCTGATTAACCAGAGTCAGCCAACAATCCTCACTAACGTGCAGTACAATCCTCTACTACTCAAAATACTGTGTTCCACTGAAAGAAGCTGATACTTATTCATAGTAACCCCATGGTTTTCTGTTTCCTCTGTACAAATACGTATTATAGCAACTTCTCTCCACCCTATAGCATTTGAGAATCAAATGACAATGCATTGGAAGATTTTTTTTATATCCTATAATGCATTATAAATGAATAATTTTCCTAAGCCATTTGTAAACTTCATTTTATAATCAATACGGAACAAACACATCTTGTATAAAGAGCAGTAATGAAGAATAACTTCCAGCCTTCTCTTGTTCACAGTGAGATGTATGACTTGCAGAACCTACTGATTCTTACTTCACTTGAATGACATTTTCTCCAATGGTTATTTTATTTTTTTATTTTTATTTTTTTGTGAGGAGATCAACCCTGAGCTAACATCTGCCAATCCTCCTCTTTTTTTGCTGAGGAAGACTGGCCCTGGGCTAACACCCGTGCCCATCTTCCTCCACTTTATATGGGACGCCGCCACAGCATGG